TTGGCCTATGACAGGTGGGGGGCTGCTCTAGCCCCCCCATAACCAGTAAGCACCACCCTGTAAAGGCGCATGCTAACCAGTTAACCATTCACATCCCTAACATGTATGTGAGAGACCGGACTAGAATGCAAAGACTGCTGGGAGCTTGGTTTGTCACTGGCTGCATTTCAACGGGCGAGTGTCCCTTTAAATAGCCAGGCACATTAAGCCCAAAATGATGCAGGCCCACAAAACCCAACCACAGGGCCACAGCTCCCCCCCCGCGCCACGGCCTTGCATCAGCGCATGTCAAATGAGGATGCCACAAGCTGCTTCCCAGCTAACGAGAGTATTAATTTCTCTCCCCCAATGGGCAGCAGAAGCAGACAAAGCGCAGCACTTCGCACGCTCAAGTCAACGGCAAACCTCCCACGGCGGCAGCGATTAGACCAGCAGGGCAGCAGTGGGAGAAAAACCTGAAGGCCAAGTTCCAGGAACAGCCATTAAGCCGGGCTCCAAATAATCGCCCGGCGAGAGGTCCCGCCACCTCAGGGATGTCTCCCCACCCCCGAAGTGAAGCACGCGACTTATCCCCATTAGAAATCTGAACAACAAAGTTCTCCACCCAGTGCCGCCTTCCCCGCCCCGCAGGCAGCAAGCCGACAGAACGACGCTCGCGCCGATGACGCTGTTGACTTCCTGGACGCGGACGCCGATGGCTTCCTGAATGCGCACCACAAAACCCACAGCCGGCTCCCTGAAGAGGCTACCCCGGGCCAGGCCCTGAGAGCCAGCCCCGCTCAGCGCCTTTCAAGAAGGCAGCGGCTGCTATTACCGTAAGCGGCTACCGCAAATCATTTTCTGAGCGCTTCGGCTTAGAACGGCAACAGTCAAACCTTCTCTCCACCAGCTGCCTCCGAGCCAGGAAAGAGCCACCAGAACGCCAGCGCTGCATTGCAACCTCGACAGCCGCTTTTCACCCCCCCCACACGCAGCGCCCAAGCCCGCTCGGTTTGGCAAGGGAGCAGGAGAGGACCCCACGTGTCCTGGAGAAGGGTGCAGCAGACACGCTCCCTGGTACGTTGCAACGGCCGCACCAGAGTCGGGGCAAGCTGACGGGTTACTTTCGTCCAAACCTTGCCCCAAAGTGCATCCCATGCTTAGCCCCCAGTCTAGCATCTGGGGGGTAAGAAGTCGGTTACAACGGCAACCGTGGAAGCACTGAAAAATCTTAGCGGTTGTGCGCGCTTAAGCTTTATGCTGCAGAGCCTGCAGCCAAACCGCCCTGGGAGCAGGGCCGCCTGCTGCCCCTCACCGTTCCTGACCCTATTAGGGTCTCTTCCCCTAATCCCAGGGGGAGTCAGCCACTGGCTTTGCTGAAGGAGCAGAAGAACCCCGCACTGCCGGCTCGCAGTTTCATCATGACTCAAGCCGTTTGGTCTTTCAAACTCCAGGCCCCGGAATTATTAGGGATGTGACCGTGTAATCGAGAACCGGCTAACCGACGAGCCTGGGCTCACCGATTAACCCTCTCGGTTACACGCAGCCTCTGTATCAAAGGCAGCCGGAGGGGTAGGGGGAAAAAAAAAAAACTCGCAGGAAAACAGTTTAAGCCGGCTCCCACCAGCACTGGCTCCTGGGAGCCACCTGTTTCTCCCCACCCCTCACGCTCCGGGGGGGAAGGGAAGGAGCCGGTACAGGTGGGGAGCCAGCTGTGAAACAGGCTTCCCACGCGTACCAGCTCCCATCAAACCGACTGCCTTCCGCCCCACCCTCTGAGAAAGGCGGCAGGAGGGAGGGGGAGAAAATGTGAGCCAGTGCTCCCTCTCCCCCACCCCACAAATGTGTAACTGATTAAAGTTTCAGTAGATGCACGCGCAAACAAATAAAACACATTTGAACATCCCTAAATTAGATTCTGCAAAAACCCCTCCATTTAAGAACCTAAGAATGGCCAGAATGGGTCTGACCAAAGGTCCATCTAGCCAGTGTCCTGTCTTCCCAGGGGGGCCAATGCTAGGTGCCCCAGAGGCAATCAACAAAACAGGAAATCATCACAGGATCCTCTCCCTCTCATCTATTTCCAGACAAACAGAGGCTAGGGACACCATTCCTACCAATCCTGGCTAATAGACCTTGATGGACCTAACCTGCATGAATTTATCTAACTCTTTTTTGAGCCCTGTTAAGGTTCTGGTCTTCACAACAACCTCCAGCAAGGAGTTCCACAGGTTGACTGAGCTGAGTGACGAAAAACTTCCTTTTGTTTGTTTAAAAAAAAAGTTGTGCTCTCAGGTTGGCAGAGATGCACCGTGCTGTAAAACTTCAAGACGCTCAGCTCAGAAGGCCAAAGAACAAGGCCTTCAAGTTGCTTATGTCACATATTGTTAAGCCAATCTCACAGGAATTATTTTAGAGGAGGGCAACACCTGCCTTATGATTTCCAAGTGCTTTGGTTTGTAATTCTGCCTCCTTGTCTCTTTCCCAGCAGGGTGAACACCTGCTAGGGGGAAGGGAGGGGGGGAAGGGCAGGCTTCTTTAGGCAAATGCTGCCAGCTGGTTACACTGACAAGACCAGGTAGCAAGGCACCTTGCTCCCAAATAGCGAGGGATATTCCTTTCCCCACCACCCCTCCACTGCAGATGCTGCAGCCCCCACTCTGAAGGCTCCTGTCTACTCCCGCATTCAGCTGGCTTCAATTATTCAGGGAAACCCAGGCTGATAATTACAGTCCCGAGCTGTTGAATAAAACTGATGTTTAATTAGCCAGCAGGAAAGATCGATTAAGATACAGCAGGGCAGTTCGCAGAGTTCTTCCACGGGAGGGTGGGGAATAGAACCCGGCTGTGCCCTTCCAAAGGCAAACACTCTCTCTGGCACAGGCCGTTTTATTTCAACTGGATGCTTTAAGTGGTCATCCCCCTGAGTTTTATCATCGGAACTTAATAAAACTGATGTTTAATTAGCCAGCAGGAAAGATCGATTAAGATACAGCAGGGCAGTTCGCAGAGTTCTTCCACGGGAGGGTGGGGAATAGAACCCGGCTGTGCCCTTCCAAAGGCAAACACTCTCTCTGGCACAGGCCGTTTTATTTCAACTGGATGCTTTAAGTGGTCATCCCCCTGAGTTTTATCATCGGAACTTAACTCCC